TTTATATTTAAAATGAGATGTTTATCCTGTATTTGATTGTGTTTATTTGCAGTTAGTTACACGAATTCAGATATGTGATGAAATCGGATAGGAATGAACGGGTTTAARAGTTTTTAAGAGTTTAAGAGTTTTAAGAGTTTAAGAGTTTTTAAGAGTTTTAGTCAAATGCTTTATAATATAGTATAGATAACTTTAAAATTGATGACTTCAATTCAATGGAATCAACTTCTGTATTGAGAATACCCGAATCAACAATTGACAAATTCTAAATATGATCAAATCGGGATGCACAAAGGCTTAGCAAACCACTGTTGTTAGTACAGGAGTCTGTCATCTCTTTCCTACATTATTTCTTTGCAGACGCATAAGTCCTAAGCTTCTCCAGTATCCTTCTCTCACTGATGCGCAGCACCAGAGAATGATGCAACTTTTTCTCCCTCACAGGACACTTCTCAAGTGCTTCCACATCTTCCTCCATCGACCTCAACCCATAACATATTTCCCTACTATCTGCCAGTGACAACAAAGCACCTCGCACCCCTTCTGTCAGCAAGACTTTCTTGTTCCATTCACTGACCTCGCCCAATATGATTCTTTCCTTGTTAGATATAACTGTTATTGACTTATCAGAATTCTGGGCAGTTGATACCGCAAGATAAAACTCATTGTACGTCTTTTCGGGTAGCAACATTATGAATATCAACTTAAGCAACTCAACTTCTGGTTCACCATCATAAGATATTTCAAAGTATTCCGTCTGCAGGCTTGACAATTCAGGATGATATAATCTTCTCCATAAAGAAAGACGACTCCTAGTGTACCGAGATGAAAATTGAGATGAACTCCATTGGAGTACTAACTCTAGATCGATATTCACAATATCATATGGGTTATCTGGTTCGGTAAATCCGTATCTATGGAGCAAGGCAGCATTACCCATAGATCCATATGTGTTGAAGACCTGAAATGTGAACAGACATCAGGCTGCCACAAATGTAGAGGCACCATTCCACATAGACTGCAGATAGTAAACCAAACAAACCTGGTATATCCCACTTGAAAGTAGGGTTTGTGGGATGTGATGTATGCATACGTGACCTCTACCCCAAAGGGTAGAACACACATAATAGTAGTTCACAGGAAATGTTAAACTAAGCCCTAGCACTAGATGGATAATAATGCTTAAGGTTAGCCAATTCACAAATCGTTTTCAATTACCAATTCCGAGTACGAGGAAGTTGCTAACCTCAGCTCCAGCTTTAACATCCCTCACCAAAATCATTTCCAAAATTTCAGTGGTTGGGGAACATGCACCATCAGCACTAAAAGAACGTTTTGGTGAGGCAATGTCTGATTCATTTTGACGCAAAAGATCTCCATCAAGATCGTTGTCAACCTGATTTTCCATGTTTTCATCAGTATCATCGTCGGATTCGGAATGAGAAGATACAGAGGTGAAGTGTACATCCTCAGCATCTGTCTTGTGATTAAATCTGGGGACATGGTAAAAAAACCAGGAACATCAATCAGGAAGTATCATGGACTAAAAAGGCACGTAAATTATTGGCATATTCTTATCCTCCAAACACCCAAAAGTCCAGTTAGCATCTAACACAAACTATATTATCTATAATTTCTGCACTTCTGCAAAAAGGGTATGACGCCACCCATACCATACCATTTCCACAACTATCACGGGCGAGATAAATGGTGTTTGCCTTACGAGCGTGCAACCATTCACAAGTTGGATATCAAAACTTTGCTGTGAGGTGGTTATTTGTGTGCACATGTACAAGAAGTGAGAAATAAATGTTTATTGCATTAGACAAATGAAACTTCATGCTCCATGTTACAGAATGCAGAAGATACAACTTACAGGTCTGCCAAAGGAACCATCCCAAATCCATAATGTTCATCTATCTGAAAGGAACGGGAAGAGATCAAACTCTTTGCAGCAAAGTACTGTTCGACTCCAAAGTCATTAGGATCAAGTTTTATAGGAGCTGACTCCACAAAAGGCACAATACATGCTTTCCAGTCCTTGTACACAAGAGCTTTGTCTTCTTTAACCGTCTGTCTATACATATACCAAGTGATTAAAAACTGAGGTGAGCTGTCGGAGTGGCAAGATGGATCTATTAGTGATTTCAAATGCACAAATGGGTTCCTGATCAATATCAAATTCAAGTAAACCCTAAGAATTTCTACAAACAGGTGGAAGCTACATTAAATGTTAGAAACAAGTCGGCAAGTTAAAGGAATGTTGGTCGGAAATAAAAGCGAGAATTCATATAAATTGCGTGTTTGAGTGTCAAATTCAGTAAAACCTAACCTTATGAAGCTCTGTGCCGAGTAGGAGTTGGTCGATTTCATCGATAGACCAAAGCAAGGGCACCTCAGGGTTGCAGTCAGGCAAGAGCTGGAGGTAACCAAACCAAGGGGAGCGTTGGCCCAAGCTTTTCTCGTACATGAGAGCGACGGAAAGTGCCATATAACCTTCAAGACAGAAATCTTGGATGAGTGGGCAAGCGGCGGAGGACTTGACGGTCAGGCAACTGTGTTTGGGGATGGTGGCAATCAGGTCGCCATCATGTAAATCACACAATGCCTTCACCCATATTTGTAGGTCTTCTTGTTGTATGACGAGGTCGAGTGCGTCGCTGTATTCAATTGATTGGCATTTCATCCACCGTTTGAATGCTCTCATTCGCCGGGTGCTGGCCATCGCCGGAGGAGTGGTGGCGGTTCTTTGCCGTGCATAGGTTTTAAAGACATATTCCAATTCCAATTCCAATTCCACTCCGAATCCTACTATTTTTTGGGCCCGTTTTCCAAATTGGTCCAATCACCATTTACCAAACTTTTTACAAATTCTAACATTTTATCAGAGGCTAAAATAAATTAAATAGTTTTTTATTCTGATATTTTATTTTTAATTTTTCTTATTACAATAATATATTTTTAAAATATTTTTTATTAAAGCATCTTTTTTGAAAATTATAATATTTGGTAACATTTTAAATTAAATTTACTCATTATATCAGGGTTTTTTGCCACCTCATCGTACATGTGGGCTGTCTACATGTACAATAGTGCTCACATGACATTTCTTATTATAACATTGTACTTTCAAAACTACTTTATTATAACATCATCAATTTCTATTACAAAATTGTACTTTTAAAATAATTAATTCTTCATATTCTAAATCTCAAATCATTAAAATAATATAAATTTGTTACGTAAAAAGGTATTTTTTTTGGTTAATGTTTATCATATTATTTCTACATTTATATGACATTGACTTTTGTTTGTAGGTTTTCTCAATTTTGTTTTATTAAAACACCTTTCAAGGGTTTAATTATCGTACAAATACATGTTTCACTTATATATTAGAAAAAATAAAAAATTTCCAAAAACTTGATTATGGTGAAAGAAATAATCATGTTACCAAGTCGAAAATAATTAGGTTGTTGGTACAATGATTTTTAATCAACGACTTAATCTTAAAAAATTCAAATACTTTGATGCTTAATCAATCACTTTAATATTTTATAAGGGTCAATTTCCGGTGAGATGGTTGTGAAGAGGAGAATTTCCAAGTAAATTGATAATGCCGGCGGTTTTGGTGGTGGGGAGTTTGTTCGGCTTGGGATTGAAATAGGGAAAAGGTGATTGGGATTTTGCAGTTAGGTTTAACGATGAGAAAGGTTGTTCTTAGCAGGGCGCCGATGGCGGCCATTGTTGCAAATGCAGAGGAGAAGGAGGAGGAGGAGATGGATAAGGGGAACAAGGGGAGAGGTACATTTGATATTTTGTAAACATGTTTAATTTCTGATATTATAATTTTTAGTAAACATATTTGATTGAATTTACAATGTTTAAATGATAAAAGTATTAAAATTAAAAATACAATAGTGTAATAGAAATTGGTAATGTTATAATAAAATTATTTTGAAAGTACAATGTCATAATAAGAAATGTCATGTCAACACTATCGTATATGTGGACAGCTTACGTGGACGATGAAATGACAAAGAAAACTGTTACAATGGGTAAATTTAATTTAAAAAGTTACTCAATGCTATAACGAGTAAATTTTTGAGAGTATGATGCCCTACTAAAAAATATTTTAAAAATACATTGTTGTAATAAGGAAAACTGAAAGTAGAATGATATAACAAAGAAATTTGTAAAAGTAAGTTGTTGTTTCACGTATTTTGTCTTTATCTTAACATAATTTGTATTTTTATATCAAAATAATCATTATACTTTTTTAAGTAAATGATAGGGAAAAGTTAAAAAAAAAACCCGATAAGAATAATAGTTTAATCTTTAAACTAATTTTTAAATAAAAAAATCATTAAACTTTTTATTTTAAATGATTTAATCCCTCAATTATTTTTTTAAATAAAAAACTATTAAATTTTCACATTTTGAATAATCAAGACTCTAATTATTTTAATAAATGAATAAATAAATCATTAAACTTTTACAAATTGATTAATGTAATATTTTTTAGGTTAAAAGGATGTAAGTAACGAATTTTTGAAAATGTAATAGTCTATTTGCTAAAAAAATATTCGAAGACTTAATCAATCAAACGAGAAGTTTAATTTTTCCATTTAAAAAATGAAAGTTTAATTATATATATATATATATTTTTTTTTCATTGAGAAAAAATAATTTAAAAACTAATAACTCCATCAATAGTCAAATACGAAACAATGCTCTCACTTACTACTTACTAGCTAGTAGCCAATCATATGAGGTATTTTCCTTTCATATTTTTCCGATAATGTGAGCATTTTAAAAATGAAAAGAGAAATTCATGAGCATTGAATGTTAAGAACATGAAGAAATTAAAGAATACAAAAATTTGTATATAAAATCAAAATTCTAAAATTAAACCTAAATCTAAATCAACAATTCCATCAAACAACAATTGACCGCCACAATACAACTTTGTTACCGAAGAACAACGTCTTGTTGGTCCACCACCACCGACTCTCTATGATCCTCTTTCTCACCGGTGCCTACTGCTTCGACCCTGTTTGTTTCACGATTTACTACTTTGCGTGACCACCAATGTAAATTTCTAATTATTCCCAAATAAAAAGTTATTTTGATATTTATATTTGATTTGCAGGTAAAGTTCCATGGATTGTTTGATTTTATTTTTGTAGATGACAAGTACCATAAAAGGATGATGAATTGATCTCATCAAAATTCTACGCCGATACTCTTTGGAATTGGTCTTTAGTGGCTCACCGCTCAGCAAGTATATTAGGTATCATAGACATTCCGTGTTAGAGCTTAACAATGCTTCGGTTGTTGATCCAAGGGTGTAAATTTGCCAACTTCCTGAGAGAGATAGAGAGAGAGAGAGAGAGAGAGAGAGAGAGAGATGGAATCACTTTTGTGTTGCCATATAAGCTAGCAAATTTATAAAACAAATCAACCTCACAACAATTAATTCTTTGATGTTTCAAGTTTAGGTTAAGTTGAAAACTTGTAACCAATCGCGTTTAATTAACGTAATTTTGGTGAATACCATCATTTAGGAGACAAAAATTGTGATCACTGGAAAACTAACTCATATCTTACCGCTTAAACTATCCTTTAAGACGCATCAAGCTTATGGTAGGCATCGACTATGTAGGTTGATGCTCATTGCCATTGGACGAGATTATATCCATGTTACATTTAGGGACTGTTATAAAATGCCTACCGGGTAAGCGCTTACCAGGTCATTTACCTTGGCGGATGAACATGATAACGGCCGAGAATCTTCCCTTTAAGACACATCAAGCTTTACGGGAGGCATCGGCTATGTAGGTTGATGCTCATTGATGTCCAATGAGATTATATTCATGTTACAATTAGCGGCCGTTTATTAAATGCCTACCTGGTAAGCGTTTACTAGGTCATTTACCTTATGCGATGAATATGACAAGGACCGATAATTTTACTCTGTAAGAGCGATGATAGAGATTGAAAGTCTTATCCAATAAGCGCTTGTTGCATACAACACCATTTTGATGGACAGCACTCTTACTCGATACTTTAAGTTAAGAGTGTTAACTCGAATCAGTAAACGCTTACCGGATAAACGGCCGTGTAGCATCTTTTATGTCCTTAATATCATTTGTTGTGCAAGTGTTGACAAACCTAACTCTTGACATATTTTATGCAACATTTTCAAGAGTATTCATTCATAATCAAAAGGTTGATTGTATGAAAACCAGAAATCATCTTGGAAAGCATGCTACTAAGGGAAGCATGCCATGATTCATTTGTGAATAGTCAATAGATGGCATTAAAAAGGAAAAAGACACAAGTTACAGATTTCAAAGATTCAAAACAATACTCTCCCTGTAACCATTCCTATTATTAATCCAAAAGAGTGAATCTTTATTATCATCACCTGTAGCTTGATAAGCACTTTGTAAACCTGAGTAGTACTGCTAAACAAGTTATGCTTGTGAAAGTGGTCATTATAATACTATACATAAATTGAGATGAAGATATATTGCCAGGTTTGCAACCAAGGAGTTCCACAGATGTAGATGTAATCCATGAGCGAGGATTTGACTTTCTAATGTCATCCCTGCTACTTTACATGAATATGAATTACTTGCACTGATTATTTTGGTGTGTATTATAACTTACTATATTTTAACAATTTAATCAGAAAATCATAAAATTTAAACACATCCTAAAGTTGATAAGTATCCCATCGAGTCGCTGAGGCTACTATCTCTTGGATAGAGCAGTTGATAGTTGACGGAATTTAGGTTGCACCGTTATAACCCCAATCCTTGCCTCATAGTAATAATACCTGTCATTCAATATATACTTTCAGCCACATAACTAACATACTAATAAACAAGAAAAACGATATTACGGGGATTTTATAACCTCCTAAAGTATATCAAGAGATGAAGAAAGCGCACCCTTTTTCACTGAGGAAGTTTTTTATTGCTACCGGGAGCGCAGCTTCTCCTCGGCTGTGACTACCTTTCCCTGCAAAATCACAAGTACAGTCATCAATCACTGCTTTGTAACTTTCCAAAACCAGCACAAAATTTTCAATTCACTTGGTGTCGTTAAATTAACATCCAACTCTGTCCCAAAGTTCATGTCCTAATAAAAGCATATCTATAATAGGATAAACCCGAGTAGATAAATGCCAAAAAAGAATTCTTTTAACAAGGCGTTATAGTACATATAAGGTACCTTAACTTTTTATGTTCTTAACCTTAACTGTTATAATATTAGCATTTAAGCCCCATGTCATTCTCTTGATATTTACATTTCAAAGACTTGGAGAAATGTTGAAGAAGTTTTGATTCAAAAAAGTTGAAATATACAAAAGGATAACAAAAAGCCTATACTTGGCAACTATGTTTGTGACCTATCAGTGTTAAACTACAACTGTTGTCAGCATGTTCAATTAGCAATCCTCAATGATAGCCTATTCAACTCATATCCACCCTCCTCTCAATACCCTTGACTTCACCCTCTTCCAGATCCTACTGAAAATCGGCCACTCTAGTCCTATGCTTCAAAGAACTCCTATCAAGAGTTCATGTTCTCAGAAATGCCTAAAACTGCCATGTCCATCTTCAGCTGGTCACCCGACGTTCTCCTAGGCCTACTCCTCCTCCTCACCCCCTCAACCGTCAACTCTCCACTCTCTTGACGGATATTGACACCTGACTCCTACTAACATGCCCAAACCCTTAGTTCCAACAGAAAATTGTTGTTCGGAGTCCTATCTAGCATGGTCCACCACACATCCATCTCAACATCCTCAGCTCCGCAGCTTCCAATTTCTTCACTTGAGCCTTCTTAACAGCTTAACACTCAGAACCATACGACATAGTTGGTCTTATGGCTACCCTATAGAATTTCCCCTTTAGTTTTAATGATACCCTTTAATCACACAACACTCCCCTAGCCACTCCACTTCAACCATCCTTCCTTTATGCAGTGTGTAACGTCGTCTGCAATCTCACTCCCTAGAATCATTGAGCCTAGATACTTAAAAATATCTGGTTCCCAATGCTTACTTCTACACCCTCATCAAAGCGTTCCTCGCTAAAACTACACCACGTGTACTCTGACTTGGACTGACTAATGCACAAACCTGCCATTTCTAAAGCTCCCCTCCACCTCGCTAACTTAGTGTTTATCTCACCCTTAGACTTTGCTATGGGTGCAATATCATCATCAAATACATGCACCAGGATCACTATCCTCCATGTCTCGTGTAAGTTATGCTGTTAATCGCACAGCCATAGCGGTGCAATAGCGGGGCTATCGCGGTTAGCGGTCATGGAACAAATAGCAGTGGTCAAATAGCGGTCCCGCAATTAGCGGCGCTATTGACCGTTAAATGACCGCATTTTAAACAAAACAAAAAAAAGCAGCCGCATAACCGCTATTTGTAGATAGGCAGTTCTGGTGTTATAAAAGAAATTTTGTGGGCTTCTGCTTAGGACTTGCATTGGTTTTATTTTAATCCAACAATATCAAGGCTTCATTATTCTTATCTTTTGGACGAGGGCACCATTATTCTTATTTTTTTGGATTTGAACACCATTACTTTGACCTCTTGATTTGAATAAACGCATTCACATTGTTCATTGTTTTTATTTGGACTTGTACATCATTATCCTTATATATTTTTTATTGAATACATAAAATATGTTGAGTCATGTATGCATATGTATAATTCTAACTATTATATGAACCGCTATTTTTGGACCGCTATACCACCGCTTTACCATCTCGATAACTGCTATTTTAGATCACGAAATCGTGATTTCATATTTCGACCCGTTGTAACTAGGGCTGGCAACGGGTAGAATAAGGGTTATTCCGTTATCCAATTCATTTAAAATAGCGGGTAACGAAACGGGTAATTATCCATCTCATAAACCTATTGTCCATATCCTACCTACCATTAAAATAGGGGTAACTAACCGGATGATGGATAAATGGTAATACAAAATTTCATTTTGAACTATAAATAATATGGTTAGACCTCAAGCATGAATGTAAAACATAAATTCATAAATATACTAATTATTTTATATCTAATTTGTTATAGTAAACATTATAATATTATTCTAAATATAATCATAATATAATGTTTTAGAAACAATATAAAAATTGCAAAATAACACTTTTTGTTGTATTTATTTTTCCTACCTTGTGTTTCTCATTTAAATAATGAACTTTTTTACTCGATAAATATAAAAAGTAGAACTAAATTAACATTAATATACGACATATATATGATAGCATTATAAAAACATTAATATCTAACTTAATATATTTATGTGTGTGTGTGTATATATATATATATATATATAACTTTATATATAATATAATTATACAAACATAATGGATAACGAAAAACCATTTATCCATACCTTAATGTTATCCCAAGATTCAAGTATATATCAAGATTTATGTAAGAAAACTATGAATGCAATATGCCATCAAAGTGTAAACAGTATTATTCAGAGAGAATCTGAATTACAATACGTACAAAGTGATTAGGAAGATTAAAACAAAATAACTAACTCAAACTATTTATACCCCGAAGGTATTTATATTTTTAGTCCCTCAACTTGAATGCGAAATCTAAGTCTAACATTCTCCCCCTCTTGATTCAAGCCCAACTTCTTCTCTTCCGCAGTCCAAGGTGAGTTTCAATATTATTCCGGAAATTCAATGTGTCTTGAATAGCATCAAGTGCTCTAACAATCAGGTCCTTGTCTCTCTTATCCATCTTTTCCTTAGCTTTATCATCTACATCAAGCTTTAGATTTAACTTCTGTCGGATAAGCTTTAGAGTACCGTCAGAATACTTTTCAATCTCTGCAAATCTCAGAAAACATTTCTTCGACTTGGCATTCTGATAAATAATTCCGAACTCTGGATCTTCAAGAATCACATAAGTTGGGAAATTGTCAATCTCTGGCAAACTTTGGTTAGGTTGAAGAAAGTCGATTCTTTTCTGATTACTTTCTATCCCAATCTGAAAATCAGTAATCAAAGAATATTTTGCTTGTCGATGCACAAACAGCTTTACAACATTCAATGCCAAAGTCACATCTTGTGGTCTAATAGTTCTCCTCCTCATCTCATGATACAAGAACTCTAAATCTTCCAGCTCAAGATTAGAAAAGTTTGCTTCAGAAAATTACCATTCTTTTCCATCCTGTCTGATAACTTTGAGAGTTGGATAATATAGATTATAAGGTGGCGTTTGGTTCGCAAATTCAGAAGGAATCTGATGGAATTGGAATTTTGAATTCCATTAACCAAATTCCATTCGTTCTTTTTCACGGAATGAATTTTCAAAATCCTACAAATTCCACAAATAAAGGAATTTAACATTCCTTAGCAACTACATGGTATTTTGATGGAATGAAATTTTCTATTTTAATAATACCAAAGATGCTCTTAACACAATATACCCTAATCTCATAAAACCCAATACGACTATTGCGGTATTGCCGACTACCATCGATCTGAACCACCACCGACCACCATCGATTTGAACCACCGTTGATCTGAACCATCGTCGGCCACCGCCGATCTGATCCACCCTTGATTTGAACCACCATGGACCACCACTGGTCTAAACCACTATCGACCATCACCATCTGAACCACCACAGACCACCATTGATCTAAACCATCGCCAACTACTACTGATCTGAATCACCACCGGTCACCGCAGATCTAAACCACCACCGACCATCACCGATCTAAACCACCCCCGAACTGAACCACATTCGACCACCGCCGCTTGAAGCACCATGGACCACCACCGATTTGAACCAATGTCGACTACCGGTGACTACCACCGATCTGAATCATCGTCGGACACCGCCGACCACCAATGATTTGAACCATAAATCTTAACCACCACCGCCATCGCCGATCTAAACCACCGCGAACCACCGTCGATCTGAACCACTGCCGACCTCCGTCATCTGAACCACCGCAGACCACCACCGATCTGAACCACCGTTGACCACCACCGATCTGAACCATCGCCGACCATCGTTGATTTAGTAACATCATTTGGCTTGTGGTTATATTTGGGTTGTGTATTTTATATTGTTTTACATATTAAATAATTATTCTATTAAAGTACTTTTAGTTTGAAAAAAATTCAAAAAAGGGCATTTTGGTCATTTACCAATATCTCATTCCAATTCCAAAGCTACATTCTGTGAACCAAACAGATAGTAAAACTTCTTTGCTGAAATCTCCGTTAACTGTCACTATTTTCTTCTTAGTGTTCACATACTTTCTTAACGGACACTGAGCTTTCAACATGTAAATGTATTCTCTGATGTGATCCTGATTGAACTTTGTAATCCCCAAAACTTTAGCCGGATCCAATTCTTTCAACTGTCTCACATAAATTTCTATCATCTTCTAAGAAAGCAACTCTTAATTCAAATTCCTTAACATATTCCATTCCAATGTCTGTCAACCAAACAAGTGGTCAAACTTGACAACATTCCATTCCAATTCCTTCAAAGTCAAATTCCTTTAATGGATTCCATTCCATCAAAAAACATTCTGCGAACCAAACGCCACCTAATATCTTCGTCTGTTCCCATCTTGCAATTTGTTCAGTTTGTTTCACTACGGTAGTCTTTCGTACATTTGAAGATTCAGGTCGTTGTTGTACTACCGGAGGTTCAAATGCTTGTACCGGCTCAGCCTGTTGCACTTTGATAGATGGTTCAGGCATAGATACAACATCAGCAGCATTAAATTCACCAAATTCAACAAAGTCTTTGTCTGAAAAAGATATCAGATCTTCTACCTCATCCTTTATTCTCAATACAGCTTCTTCTGCCTTATCCACCTCAGGCTCATCAGCATCTGAATCATTGTAAATAATATCTGTAAACATATCATTTACCATCTTCAACTCAGCTTCCCTAGCTGCAGCATCCTCAGGCTTTTCAACCCTTAGATCTGTTTCATCAACCAATACAATTTGAACTGTTTGCCTTTCATTTCTATTGACATTCTCACCAGAAACCAGAAACCTGAAATCATCTTGTTTAGTTTCATACCCTCACCACTAGCAACAATAGCCTCAATAACTGTTTGTCTCTTCTCCCCCTCATGTTGATGAAGATCGTCCTGATCATCATGCTTTATCCAAGATTCAAGTATATATTAAGATTTATGTAAGAAAACTATGAATTCAATATGCCATCAAAACGTAAACTATATTATTGAAAGAGAATCTGAACTACAATAAGTACAAAGTGATTAGGAAGATTAAAACAAAACAACTAACTCAAACTATTTATACCCCAAGGGTATTTACAGTTTTAGTCCCTCAACTTGAATACAAAATCTAAGTTTAACATTTATCCACTAAAATTTCAGGTAAACGAGTAACGAATAAAATAAATGGATAACATTTTCTTTATCCATACCATCGAAACATTACGGGTAACGAGTTTACCCTAACCTATTGCCAGCCATAGCTGTAACGGCATAATGCGTAAGCTCATCCAAGATTACGGCAAAAAGACATGGGCTTAGTGTTGATCTCTAATGCAAACCTATTTCTACTAGATAATACTCAGTCTCACCAACTTGGGATCTAACAGAAAGTTTTACAGTACGGAATCGTGAGGCGAGGCGTTTAACCTTTGCGAGGCAAGGCTTACACCTTGAGGCAGAAACATACTGAACAATAATCACGGAATATACATGCACAAAATATATATGCTAAAAAATATATCATACATATATATGTATACACTAACAAAGAACATATATATTTATACAAAATGATATACTAACAAATAAAAATATAATATACTCATAGGTTTAAATAAAATACTTGGATGCTTGAATGTAGCATGTTAAAAAAATATTTTAAGATATATATACATCCACACAAGAGAGAAGTGAATCGTCTTGAGATAGAGCACAAGACAACCGTTCTTTTTTACGTTTGGCTCTTTAGTCTTTGTGTGTGTGTGTGTGTAATTATACATTATGTGTGTGTGTGCGCGCACGCGCGCAACGTGAGCTATGCTATTACAGTGGTCAAACTCCCAAATAGCGGTCAGAACCATGATTTGGTATAGCGGTTATTGTGATGGTAAAGCAGTGTTATGGTGGTCCACAAATAGCGGTTCATGTAATAGTCACAATTATATATAAATGTATGAGTGTATGCATAACATAATATATATTTTGAAGATGAACATAAGAACACGTGAATAGAAGAGATGACAAGCAATGGATGGTGGAAAACAATGTTGTTGTGAAGAAAAGATGCATATTAGTAGACTAAAATAGAAGAGATGAGAGAGGAATAGCGAGTTTATACACCAATATTGCAAATCAAAATCAGCTCCCTCGCTCACAGTCCCTAAACCAACTTCTCTAAACCCTTTAAAAGGCCAACTGCAAGCCAACTCTCGATTGCAGTTTTCACACCGCCATTGCAAATCAAATTTGCAGCCCAATTGCGGTGATTAGCGCTGCTATTAGCGTAACCATTATTTCCTCTAGGACCGCTAACCGCTATAGCACCACAATTAACCGCACAGTGTGAGTGAGGGAGAAGTAAATGGCTTTGAAAGAGAGCAAGTGGCAGCTGTTCTTTATGTGTATATATATACAGATTATACATATGTATGTATGGGTGTTTGTTAGGCAGAAGTGAAGTTTTGAGAGAGAGCAAGTGGCAGCTGTTCTTTTTGACTTTTTGGTCTTTGTATTGAATATAAAAAGGGCCACCCACATCACATATCAGATGTGTACGCCCTCTATGCCTCACCGCCTCACCAATTCAAAGTGTACGATCAATTGAAGCTGTGAGAGGCGGCACCCCAAGCTCGGTTTTTGCCACCTCGCCTCAAGGCTACGCCTTAACCGAGTTTTAAAAGCATGCCTAACACAAGTCATCATCCTAACGTACATATCTTGGATTTCCCTAGCATGCATCCATGGGACAATCTAACCTCCAAGCTCTTCTAAATCCTACAATGCGGTACACTATTGTACGCCTTCTCTAGATTTATGAACACCATATGTAGATCTCTGCTAGGTTCTCTATATTTTCCATTAGCCTTCTAAGAAGGTGGATCGCTTCAATTGAAGACCTCCCTGCATGAACTAGAATTGGTTTTCCGTAACCTGCGACTCACGCGCCGAACCCTAACCTCAATCGCTCTCTCCTAAAGTTTCATGGTATGACTCACAACCTTAATACTTCCATAATTATCACAATTCTGCACATCTCCTTTGTTCTTATATAGCGGCACTATCACACTAAATCTCCACATCTTCAGGCAATCAAACTGTTCTAAAAATGACATTAAAGAGTTTTGTCAACCAATGTATGCCCAACTCCCCTAAGGACTGCCATGCCTCAAAGGGAATCAGGCCAGCCTCTACGGCCTTGCCCTTACACATCGTCCTCGCATCTTTTAACTTCACCCTTGGTAATACATCGGCAAAAACTACAGTTGCAAATCAATAGCAGACCTACAATGCTCTCCCCCTCCCCCTCCCTCTCGCTAGACTCATTAAACATCCGCTTAAAGTAACCATCTCTCTCTAATGTCCTGTTCTCATCTTTGATATACCTTACACTTCCTATGTCCCGACACCTTTAATCCCTAGCCTATGCCAGTTTGTAAATTTCTATCCCCCCTTGGGATCCAAGCACCTATACATGTCCACATAAGCCTTATCCTTTGCCTTAGCCACTACCTTTTTGGCTTCTTGTTTTGCTTCTTTATACAAGACTTGTACCCTACTCCTCTCCCTGACAGCCCTATACATGCTAAGAGATCCTTAAAACAAATACTTACGCTTACCCTAACCTTCAATTGAACCTCATTACTGTGACCATCCATTGAACCTCGTCACTGTAACCATCGATTGAACCTCGTCAACCTAACCTTCGATTGAACCTCTTTGACATCACTCCTAGAGTATCATGGGCAGCAACTACAATGGTCCTCCCTTCTCATCATCTCCATTAACCCCATTTTAGTAAGCATACAAATGTACAAGTATAAAGATATATTAATAAAACCTAAATCAATTATTCAGTATCATCACAAATTCATATTTAATTTTGTAAGTAACTCAAAACCTAATAGAATAAAGAAACAACCCACTTCTTCATGCCCAAGCTCCTTCATGTCACATCTCCTAGGATCAAGAATTCATAAACAAATAATGCAATTGCAGGAAACAAAAAAAAAAGAACATGATACTTGCATCATTTTTGAAAAGGCTTAAATCCAGAGGATTGCCAGCCTTTTTAAAGATAACCGACTCATTTTTGTCCTAGGACATCACTAACAGTGCACCCTAATATACCTTCTCTATTGCCATTATCATATATTGAATCTACTTAAACTAAAAATCAAAAACCAAAAAGGGGTTTACATAAATAGCCATAAGTCGGATGAAAATATTGGAAAAGGTAATTGTGGAGCAAGCACCCTCAGAGCATGAATGCAATACCTATAATGTCTACGATACAAACTACCAACACCTCCTGAAACCACCTCATGTTGTGGTTGCTTCATCACCATGACAACTGCTAATGGAGGGTATACCAAAAGCTTCATGTTCCATTCTAAGTTGTGGGTTAAAAAAACTACAACCAATCACTAATACAGGTCACATAATACAAATATGCAATTACTCATTGCCATTATATTCAAGATCCTTCATGATCTACAAGGAAAATCAGAAGCTCATATTCCATTCAAGGTTGTGGCATAAGAAAAGATAATAGATCATAAAGTTAAACCATAATATGAGGAAAAGCTTCTCTCCTTCCTTCCCTCTTTAAAGTGATTTTAGTTGTTTCCCTTCTTTTTCATTCATGAACATTTTTATTTAAGGTTCTTTTACCCATTTGACATATGTCAGGAGAGACAATGGTACTAGAAAGCTTATTGGGATCTTTTTTACTGTTTCTTTGCAAATAAAAACAAACTGAAACAGACCATGATAATCAGATAATATGTCCTAAAAGTTTTGGTTTTCTTCTGCTTAGAGAGTTGAACATGATTGATTTATGTTCTTATTAGTGTTAGACGCTATATCAGGAATCAGGATATCATCTCTAATTATGTTACAAATAGATTGTTTCCCTAGTACATAAATAGTTTGATTTGGCTCCAAGCCTCATCATACAATACGTGTATGATTCTTGGTAATAACATAATACGGCATTGGCAGACCCTAATTTGTTTCAATCATCAAAATGCAGCATATTAAATTAGCACTCTATACATAGCACAATCAATAGTGATGTGCATAAGATTGTGCGTTTATCACCTGTAATGACCTCTAACAATCTTGGCCTTGATGCTTGTTGTGCATCTAACTTCTCTGTTTTTGGATTGACAGACTTGAGAGATGCGGCCTGTGTAGAGAAAACGTTGAGATTGGTTTTATCAGGTTTTTTAGAACGAGTCCCTGATACTTGAGACTCTATCTTCAGTAAGTGCTCTAGCAAAACTTGCACTGCTTCTGCGGCATGAAGCCCATGCAAGTCCAATTTCCAATCATCATTTTTACAGTTCCTGATGGCTAGAATTTCCTTCGCTGCCTTTGCATTAAGTTTTTCAGAAGTCCTCCATTCTTCTCGAGCCTTCGCAGAAAATTCTTGTACAGCAGCATGATCTCTTCTTAGATAGGCCTCAGTGGCTGCTTTTGAGTGCCGAGAGGCTAACCTGTTAACCAAAACATGATGTAACCTTGAAGGTATCCAATAAATGACTTCAGGAGTCAGGAAACCACACATTCATGGTAAATGAAAAGTTGAATACAGTGAAGATACAAATAAACCAAAAAATAGAACAACACCCTGCTGCAGCTAAGATTCTATAACGAAGAAAAATAATGTATAGAATTTATTTATGGAAGTACAACCTGGAATATCCATTTTTAGGTTCATAACTACCAAAAACCTGTCAACCATAGGACCTGCTTGTGTTACATGAGAGAGAGGTTTCAGGATTGGCTTGTTTGTAAAAGGGTCTAGCTTTTTTTTTTCGTCTTGATTTCTGATTCTCTAAGGCTTCTAGATGCAAAAAAAAAAAAAAAAAACGAAATGCTTCAAATATCAGGTCAAGTTATGTAACTAAGTCTGAAAACATAAAATATCCATACTCACTCTCCAAATAGTAAGGGTTTTGATATTTTGCTTTATACATTTTCTCCTCACCCATATATTTTCTTATTCATACATGCCCATCTCCTTGGCTTGTAGTGTGTGTTATATGTCTCCTCTTCCCTCTACATTCTCTTGCTTTTTTGTTCAGTTTCTCTAAATACTTCTAGGTTTGTTGTGTATATGTTGTAGAACATGGCATTACCATATGATTTGATGAGCAAATACGTTGATGGATTACTTCAGTAAAATTTAGAAACTTCGACTATGCATCTCTTTTAGTTCGTCTGTCCACTTTATTTGACATGTGTATACATATATGTCCAACGATCAGATTTTAGTAATTTTCAGAAGCCAAACCCACACACCCAATTGACTGTCTTACTACAGCTTTCGTTTCAGTTACTGATTCGCCTATCCTCTCCCTTCCGGTCGACCTAGTTTTTATTCCTCTATCTAGGCCAACATTCATTCTAAGACTGCTTCAAGAAAGATAGTTGTAAAAACATCAGAGCAATATATCGTAGTGTAGCATATCTGCCCCCTTCCCATGCTTCCAGGGTAATATATTGTAGACATCTACTACTGGTACATCATTATACTGTAATGCTCCAGATTATAAATTTAAGAATTATCAGCTCAAAATTTAGGATTTGTGGACGAGAAGATATGGCTTTTTTTACTTGGTTGATAAATTAATATCATCAACCAACCCAACCATCTTACTGTTAACATCATCTATAACCCCTCTACGTTGGCGACAGGTTTCATGCTTAAATCCACCAGCAAAGTGAGAGGTTAGATCTTCACATTGTTGTTGCTTCCAAAAGTTTGGGGCTTTAATTCCTTTCTTAGAGACAATGAAAATGTCTTTTTGTAAAAGGCATTTTCCTTGTTCAATGTCACACCAAGATACCAAGTCCAATTACAAACATTTCATTTAAATGACTTCCAAAATAGACTATCATTTTGACCATCTTTAGTTAAAGCATCACAATCAATATCGACAATCAACAAGTTCTTCTAACAGTTGACTCCTTACAAGCCACATAAGGATCACCAGTGCACTAAAGATAAGGCAAGAGCAAAACCTAATTAAGGATGACGTCAATCCATATAACCAACCACCCTTGAGCTATCATGTTAACCAATTTCCGTTGAACAACAAAAACAAGAACATTTCCATGCATACCCTCATATGACCTTTCTAATCTAAAGCATTCGAAAAGAGGTTAATCATCTTCTCTTTATTTTTTGAGGCAATATGAGCTCTCAAACCCAGAAAAGGCATAGAGAAATTAAGGGGTCCAAAGAACTGTTTCGAAGATACAAATCTTATACATTTCACCCATTGACGACCTGCCCATATATGATATATCTTTACAAAATTAGTAGATTGCCTAAAATGGACACACACGTATGACATACATTTTGAACAGACATAGAGACCAGAGGATACATTCTAAAGCATTTCTGTAAGGATTGGGAAGGCAAGTCATCATGCATAGTCTTTCCTTTACATTTTTGTAAGGATTGGTACAACATGACCTCTCAGACCCAGAATAGAAGCACATATATATCCTAAACAAACTTCCACCTTAGTTTTAGAATCAAACTGTCTGAGCTAATAAAACATAGTATTCCCTTCACAAGGTCTTAGTATACTTAACTGTAACACCCTAGTTTTATATTTGTTAAATTACAATGTTTTAAGCCTTAAATACAAATATTATGAGCAATTTAAGTACTCTAAAAAGGTTCCAGCAGCTGCAGCATCTAATAAATTATCATATTTTCAAGGCAAGTAGCTTACAAGGCAAGGCATGGGAAATCAAACCTAAGGTGATGAATTATAGGGGCTAGAAGTGTGTTGGCAAGCTATTTGATGACTAAGCAAGTCTAGTAAGCATGACTAAGTAAGTTAGTGATGAATTGTAAAGGCTAAAAGCATGAGTTGGCAAGACTATTAGATTACAAGGCAAGTCTAAGAAGCATGACAAGGAAATACTAGAAGCATGATGTCTTATCCTCAAGTAGGAGGTGTAAAACTCTCATAAGAGTACATGTTTGAGAGCAAAAAAAACAAGTAGCTAATGCAATGAATTTACCTATAAATAGGAGTTGAAGTGTTACCATTAGCTCCATACCAAAAATAAGAAATCTCTCTCTTTATACATAATCAAGCTTGAAGAAAGAAATTAAGGGAAAAGCTAGGCATAATCAAGGTGAGTACTTATGAGATTTATGAGCTACATACATGCTATATAAAAGTATTTTATGCATTACAAGATATTTTGGCATGTTGCCATGAAAATGTTCTACATTTACATACACCCAAGATATGCATGATGATATGTTCTGATACAAGTATGTGTTTCACACGCAAGGCATGAAAGTGTTTACATGTTATGATACAAGTATGTGTTACACAAGGCATGAAAGTTTTTACATGTTATGTATGACCATAAATATCCAATGTACGACCATAAATATCCAATGTACGGTGTATTACAAGAAGGGACGTCTTGCAAACGAACCTTACAGGCAGCCTTTATGGACCCGGGCGTTAGCAAACCTCAAGACAAATATGGCATACTAACATGTTTCAAGTGAGATCTCAAAACAATATTTATGCATGATAAAAAGATTATTTTTGTACATGATCAAGAGTTTTAGTGAATTACTATTCACAAAAAGTTAAGCATCATGAAAATTGTTTATTCATGAAACCATAACTACTCACTAAGCTTTTTAGCTTATATATCTCATGTATGTATCTCAAGAAAGGAGTGAAGAAGATTTGCATGAAGTGGTAATTACAAATCAATAGCAAGTTATATTGTATTATAAGCTATTGAATTAAGTTTCCGCTAGTATTTCATCTTTAATGTAATTATAAGCTATGTTATAAATAAAGTTGAATTTCAAGCTCATATTCAAGACTTAGTAGTTTTGATTATAAAGTAATGGCACCCGATTTAGGATTTGGGGCGTTACATTAACCATGTTAACTTAGTGAGAAAAAAATTGCACAAATTCTACCCTCAAAAATTGTAATCATACCTCATTGCCCTGATTGCCTCTTTTCGATGCATTAGGTACATATCATCATCTTCCCATTCAGGCTCCACTGGAACCATATTCAATCTATCCATGATAAGCCCTGGCGGTGCATTATCATGAAGGAACACCTTCCCAGAAGTATGATCATCTGAGGGTTCGTCATTCTTAATAGCAAGACTACTCTGAGAGACCTGGGCTGATTCTGGAAAGTTTGTGGTCTCTCCTATATGTACATCTGTATTTTCTAGCCTAGAACTATCAAGATAAACGTCCTCCATATTATCCTCAAACTCTGTTTCCTTCTTTTCCAGCAACCTACCAGGAGAAGCCATCTCTCTTAGTAGATCCGAGGCTTTGTCAATATCATTATCTACAGCTGTCACTATATCCTCTACTAAGTTCTCGTTAGCCCAAGGATGAAGGTCCTTCAGCTTCTCATAAATTTGAGAGACATCATTTTCTATATATTTGGCAGTCATCCTTTCACTCTGGCTATTTTCCAATAATGTGTGAGCATGTACCTGTGGAACATCCCTAACTGCTACTAAACTTGGAACATTTTGAATATTAGCAACATATAAAGGGCTATGATTATTTTCGCTGGCCATCATGTTTGGAACACTTGCCGAGTGAGCTAGCACTGAGGAGAAGGATCTCCCAACGAGATCACCATTTCTTGAACGATTTTGGCAATGATCCCATGTACTAATATTGCTTGAGATAAGTGGGTATGGGTGATTGTGTGTTTCATGATCAATGACTTCTTTTTGTTGCTTCTTAGGGTCAAATGCAGCCCATCCAGAAGTTTTGGCTCTCCTCCAAGACATCTTCACGTCGCTCTAACTTTCAAAAACTCTCATATATGAGAATAATGCACTACCTCTCCTGTCTGTGCTTGCACAATAAAGTGGAGGACCTGACATAACAAATACCAGAGAGAATGGGAAAATATGAGTGTATCTAAGGTCACCAACCGACTGGAATACATGATGGCAACTGCCAAGAAACAAATATGATGAGTGTGATAAAGAATACGGCCAATGGGCCACGTATTTGATCATAATTGATATAGTAATAATCCTTCTCACTTGTGTGGATTAAAACAAGACAAAAACAAAGATAAAAGCTAAGGCAATCTGGTATAAGGGAGTATTCGATTGGTAAGCAAGCCAAGGATCGACACACAAGCTTTTTCCGTATCCATGTGAAACTACATTTAGAAGAAGGGTATCTGGAGTTAAAAGTCATGACAAGAATACAATTCAAATGGTGGAGCTTGAAGCTATGGGACATTTTTACATGGGGGCAAAAACGAGGGTAACTCACAGAAAGTCGCAAATACACATACACACATAGCTGGGACTGGCCCCAATAGGTAGTAATAAGCTATACAAAGTGATGATGGTGATATCATGCTCCTTCATTAAGTTCCTCAGATGAAATTTAAACAAGGGCAATTCCTGCTTGCTACTAGCTCCAAGCCTCCAACCAAGTTAACCTTTTGACACTTGAACAAGGATTAACCAGCTCCTTCTCCGTTTCGAACAAGTCCAAAACCCCAAAAAGAACATCACAAATTCTTGTCAGCAGCGTTCCATTCCAAATTTCGATTACCAAATGTTCTATTACTAGACAGAAAGCAAGAAATTTCAAAATCTCCCCAAGACTTGAAATTGAATGAGCCAATCAATAGGTAAAAGAGAAAAAGAAAGGGAAACATACCAATTAGGGTGGTCCGCAGTTGAAATTGAAGTTCGTCGTCCGTGGGTTGTGGCCGTGAGCCTCCTCCGCCTCCCCACGTCCGATCGTCAACTGTTTCGTTTTGCTTTCTTCCCAATTTCCTTTTGGCTTCGTCTGTACGGCTATCGGCATTTTACCCTTTTTCCCTCGGTCTGCGCTAATGGATTGGTGACGATCACCGTTGACCTAAAACAATATGTCTACGTAATCCCTGGATCCTTGCGGGTACATCAAATTATTTAGGGAAAGCACTACCCTAGTATCTATGTAAACAGGGTTTTTAAAGAAAAAAAAAAAAACGTAAATCCGTCCACCCCAACCCGTAAATCAAATCCGTAAATCAAATCCGTCAAATCGTTAACCCCGTCAATTAGGAGGGTTGAAATTGGGTTGAGCCTAACTCAACCCGCCCAACCTGTCAACCTGTCAGTAATATATTTATATTATATTATAAAGCATTTGACTAAAACTCTTAAAAACAACTTTTTATACATAAAGTATTGTTTATTGATGCATATTACTTAAAATTCAAGATTACAAGTAGGATATGCATAAGTACAATTTATTAAAGCTCTATACTTGAATTCGTCTAACTAACTGTAGATAAACATAATCAAATATTAGATAAATATCTCATTTTAAATATAAAAAATATAATTAGGATAATCATTGATAACTATGAGAATACTTAGTTATTATCTTTATAAAAAATTATATTATTAAACCTAAATTAAATTTCTTTCTTACTAAACCTAAATTAAATTATAATTAAAAAATTT